GTGTCATTATTTATTCTTACTTAAAAATAGAAGAACTGCAGAACTACCAATACATTGTAAAAAAGAACTCCCAATGTTGCAAAGGCTGGCACAAGAATCTAATAATTTTCCTTGAAATACAAGTTTATAACAAGTTTGCCTTTTTCAGTGTTTCTTTTCTGGGTCATATTATGTAGATATATTATAAAATGTAATATTTGCTAAATAGTACTGAGCTGGGAAAAATGAACATTTCAGATACTTTAATTGGCTTAGAGACTACTAGGACTTCTTTTCAAGGTTATTTCCCTTTATGGTCCTATGACAGACAGACACCACTGGTATGAATCTTGTTTGTTGCTGAGAGAGAGTCTTGCTCTGTCTCCCAGGATGGAGTGCTATGGCATGATCACAGGTCACTGCAGGCTCAACCTCCCAGGCTCAAATGATCCTCTCACCTCAGCCTCTTGGGTAGTTGGGACTACAGGCATGTGCCACCACACCCAGCATGTTATTTTTTGTAGAGACAGGGTTTTACCATGTTCCCCAGGCTGGTCTCCAACTGCTAAGCTCAAGTAGTCCACCGGTCTTGGCCTCCTGAAGAGTTGGGATATCAAGCATGAGCTACCCAGTCCCCCTGGTATGAAGCTTGTTAGCAAGTCTGGCACAATGGAAAAGCCATTTAAAAAATACATTTTCACTGGCAAAGGAATCATTGCATTCATTCATTCATTCACATATAGACTAGACATTTGGTAGGTAAAAGGCTGATTAATTTGATATCTGTATCAAATAGAGTAATACAATTTAAAAAACTATTAGTCTCTTTTCAGATACCTAATTACATATCACTTTTGGTTAGGCTTTTAATTTATCTAGACCTCAGTTTACACATTTTTTAAATGATAATAATTTTTGCTCTATTTTAAAGATTGTGGAATTTGAATGGAAAATTCAACATAAAAGCACTTTGCAGAGCAGGATCTCTATGTGAATGAGTTTCATGTTGTAATCGGATTTCTTACTCTTTTTCTCTAAAGAGGCTTCCTCAAGTTTTGGGGGAAAAATGACATCAAGCATCCTTGGGGGAGGGTAAATTGCTTCCCAGTAAATAATGGTGGATGTGGAATGTCTTCTCTCATCTATTGTCAGACTGAGGATAAAAATTTTCAGTGCAGAGAATAAGCCATTAGAATAAACATTAAAAAGCTAAGGAAAAATACAGACACAAGCATGTGTGTGTGCGTGCACACACACACACTCAAACACACACACACACACACAGACATAACCTAAAATGGAATGGAATGGTGTGTTTTTTTCTGGTTCAATTTTCAGGTAGAAAAATATATAAGCTAAGTTCTTCTAAATAATGTATGATCTGGAATTGGGCCAGAAGTTACGGTTATGTGGGTTCCACATATCAAATGGTGAAAACTTGTGGGATGCTGGTTTTAGATTTGCCCAGGCAACTGCACTCCTGTATATACTCCTTTCTCCCATCCTGACACATCATCCCTAGTGATTCCACCATTTTTTGGAGAACAAGAACTGAATTAAAACAATGTATTTTGGGTCCCTGCATATATGGCTCTGGGATTTCTTTTTAATGATGCACTTTAGTCAAGCTGGAGATTTGTTTTCAGTGTAGTCCAATATATATTTTAAAATGCGTTAAAATATTAACAGGCAGTCTAGCTTTCCTGGAAGGAAATAGCTACACTGGAGCCTTGTTAGTATATTTTTATTGAGCCTATACCTTGAGGCAGTCTTATAATGAAACCGTTTAACTAAAGAACCTTGCCCCCTGTCTAAGGCATGCTTCTCTAAATGAATCCTCTCTGTAACAGACAGTGTTATAGTGACCCTCTGAGAATATGGTAAGGTTATGGATTTTTTTAGCAGCCATGTTTTTGTATTACAAATAGTCATTCATCTTATTTTCTCAACATTGCAACAAAGACCTATATTTCACAAAGATGCATTTCAAGTTACCTGTGGCCAATAACTAAAATGCCCCAAGCCATTCCAATTAAGAAAAAAAGATTTTTTTTCTAGATAAGAATAATGTCCATCATTATAAACCGAGAAGCTGATTATATACCAAAGGCAGTGAATTATAATATGTATAATACACACATTTAATTAGAATAAAATGTTGTTTTAACCATATTTTCATTATTCTAATGCCTTATATAAAACCTCAACTTTTTCTGGTGTTCAAATAAACATTTCTATTTAAGACTGATTTTAACAATTATTTGGCTACTATGGGATGTCAAAATTTATAGGATTATATTATTTGTAAGTATTCAGTCTAGCCTATTGAATACACAAAAAGTAAAATCAAGATTTAAAATAAAAGCAAAATCTACATAATTATTGTTGATTTTTCTCTAAGAAAAAGGTTCAAAAAGCAAAAAGTGTTGGCAAACTGTATACTGTGTGTATCAATTTATTCATTTAAAGGAAATTCAACTTAGCTATGCTACTTTTTAAAAAAAAGTACTGAAGATATTATAAACCAAGTCAAACACAATGAAAAACTTGATTTATCAAGAACTCTATTCCTAAGCATTCCACAAGCATGCTAAAAACAGAGGATGACAATCGTTTCTTATTTAAAGGACAGCTCAATGGTACTGAAATATTTTAAGGTAAACCTTCTGAATAGTAGAATTTAATCTTATATCAGCTAATAAAAGTTGCATTTTGGGCTTTATAAACTCCATGATTGACCGGGCACGGTGGCTCACACCTGTAATCCCAGCACTTTGGGAGGCCGAGGCAGGCGGATTGCCTGAGGTCAGCGGTTCTAGATCAGCCTGGTCAACACAGAGTAACCCCATCTCTGCTAAAAGTACAAAAATCAGCTGGGCGTGGTGGAAGGTGCCTGTAATTCCAGCTACTTGGGTAGCTGAGGCAGGAGAATCACTTGAACCCGGGAGGCAGAGGATGCAGTGATCTATTATTGGGCCATTATACTCCATCCTAGAAAACAAGAGTGAAGCTCCATCTCAAAAAAGAAAAAAAAAATTCACACAATTGTCTAATGACATTTACTCTTCCTTATAGGTAATTCGTTTCATTGACTGGTGGCCATACAAATATAGAAATAATGTTTAACAAGTAGTGATATGGTAATGAAGAATATCACAAACTTATACCAGTACTGAAACAACATCAATTAACCCAACCTGTATACATTATACATGAAAACAAGAGCACTGTTCTATACTAACCTATGAATAAACTATAAGTCTTCTGAAAATATAAGCTATGAAAGATTGTGTTAGGGACTATGTCCTTGGGCATACATAAATTCTTTTGTGAATAATGCCTATACATGTTTTCATATTTTGAAAGAATATATTTCAAGTGTTCTAATATGCAGAGAAATTTTTCATTCATCCATAGCATGTAATAGAAAAAAACCTTTAGTGTAAAACAATTTTCCCCCGTTTTGGACAACTATATTGCATTTTTTCATGTATACTGTCACCCCATTCCCCCAAGTCCCTCCAAACTCTATACAAATTATACAGACATTCTATTCCATTTACAAAAATATGAAATGTGCAAATCTTAAGTAGAGTTTTGCTAACAAAGTGACAAACAGCACAGTCTATGGACAAACATGAAAGGCATTACTTGGGAGCTTGTTAGAAATACACCCCAGGCCATGCAGACCATACCCCAGACCTACTGAATGATAACCTGAATTTTTAATAAAATCCCCAGGTGATTCATTACACAATAAACTTTGAGAAGCATTGATTTAATACTCTTATTTAGTTTCTATAAACTAACCATATCTAAAAAACTGGTTATAAATGAGTATTCCCTATGTACTCTTTACTTTAGCAGTATTTAAGATTTAGCATGTGACAGAATCAACAAGAAAGCTTGGGGAAAAAGGGAAATTTTCAAGTTTTTAAATTTAGTAGGTCTAGGATCAGGCCTGGTTTTCCCAAATTCTCATGAACTGAATTAAAGTTAATGATAATTGATAACAATTCTTGTAAACATCTGCAAATCAGCACAATACCTAATACACAAGAAAGTAACACGCAAACTGTTTCTGTTAAATTTTGAAATGTTTCAAAGTTTTTCTGAAACTGTTCATCTTAGAATTAAAAATTTGCCCTTAAACAGATATGGTACCATTTACGAGATCTTATGAAATATTTTTTTCCAAGAACTATTAAAAGATAAATTCACTTACTGGAGACCTTGAAGTTGACACCTCTCCCTTTGGAATCAACTATTTCTTGTATTAGAAAATAAGACCAATATATTCTACAAAGTGCTGCTTATAATTCTCTCCAGATCTCAAATGCAAATGCATCCGGTAGCCACTCCGGTAGTTAATGGAAGAAACAAGGAACATGGTACCCCAGTGACAGACATTCAAGTTCAAAATGTAAAAGCCCAATGCAGAGCAAACAAGAACACCTCTGTGGGCAGCAGTCAGTCCTGTTTTCCAGCATAAGTGTTAGCATGGTTTTTCTCCTTAACTCTCCCGTGACATGCCAAAGTACATATTTTTGTTAGTTTGTTCATGTGGTTATTTTGGGGCTTTTGGAGAATTGTAATTTTGATTTTACTTGCAACAACAAAACCTAGTGATACACCAGGCTTGTAAACTACTTTAGGCATATGAAGCCAAATGAATTTTCAATGATTTGAAAAAATAAGCTATAGGTATTTGAGATTTGCATAGATCCGTTTTTTTTTTTTCTAACAGGTCTTGTCATTAAGCAATATGGAAGATGTTAAGTTTGCGTTCTTTTGCCTACACTATACAATTATTTCCAAGAAATGACAGAATTTTTGTGGAGTACTTGTCTTCACCTCGGTTGTTATTGCTTGTTATGTGTAGGTATATAATGGCATTTTACTTTGGTGTTTTGACTCTGCAAATTATAAGAGATTTAAGATGTACAGAAACATTCCAAGTTTCACCTAGAGATATCTTTATATTATGACTTCTAAAATTAAAAAAAAAAAAACAGATCTAGTCACATGTTCAGTATGTACTTTTATTTTAAACAATGGCACACACACATACACAATGACATAACAGGACAATTACCTTAATACTGATAACATTCCTTGACAAATTGACTTATAATTTATATACATTGTTTTCATCTGGAGCTATTTTAAATATTATTTTAAGATATACTGTCAAACACAAATCCTAAATATATACTAGTTGCAAACATAATGTGCTTAGTTACTGTTTTCCTTGTTATTCACATAAAGTAACTTAAAGTTCTTCAAAATCATGTCCACTTGCATTCATTGTTTCAGGGTGCATGACTCGTCCCATGAATAGAATTGTACCTGTATTGGTTTGGAAGTAAACAAAAGAGGGGGTGAACAAAACAATGAAATATTTATCTTCCTTCTTCCTTACAATTAATGAAAATATGTTTCTTTCTCTTTTCCTCTTTCTTTCTTTCTGTCTTTGCTTTCTTGAGAAAGGGTCTTGCTCTGATGCCCAGGCTGGAGTGCAGTGGCTGTATCAGAGCTCTCTATAACCTTGAACTCTTGAGTTCAAGCATTCCTCCTACCCCCAATACCTCCAGTAGCTACGATAACAGGCATGTGCCACCATGCCTGGCTAATTTTTTAAACTTTTTATTTATGTGGAAATGGGGTCTCACTACCCAGTCTGGGTTCAAAGTCCTGGCCTCAAGTGATCTTTCCTGCCTTGAACTCCAAGTGTTGAGATTAAAGGCTGAGCCACCTCATCCAGCCTTATCTTCATTAAAAAAATTTTTTTTCCACATTATAAATTATCTGATAATTCAGTTGATCAATCTCAGAAAAAAGAATAAACAAAATTGTGAAAAGAAATTACAGGATGATTACTGAGAAAAAAAATCTCCACTTAAAAAGGAGGTTCTTTGTGGGCTACTAAAATTTTGTTTTCATAATAAACTTACCAGTTCTCCTGTTTCTGATAAGAAAGAAAAACGGGTGGTCGACAATAACTTGAGGATACAGCACAGCCATCCTACTAATTGCAATCATTCCTACAGTGCAGAGAAAAAGTAATTATATGTGGATGTGCAGAGACTGATGAGTAATTCCTCAAAACTAGCTGTGTCTATCCACCTAACGCAAAGACAACAATTTACAGGAAACAAGATTTTAAATGCTTAACTGGAGAAAAATTATATAGGTGTTAACATTTATACTTGATCTTCTAAAAAAACAAAACAACAAAAACACCACAAACAAAACAGTCTCTTCCCGCTACTCCACTAAAAATAATAGGACAATTTATTCTGCTTGTTATGCAATTTTTATTCTCAGCTTCACATAAATATGTGTGTTTTTACTAAAATGACTTTTGAGTAAAAGGAAAGGGAAGAATAAAGAGAAATCCCCAAACAAAAACTGAAGACAGTTTTTTTATATTTTCAAATCATTATTTCTTTTGTGTAAAGTGGGTATTTTTACATAGCAAGTCACCAGGTTCCAGTAAGTGGTCAGGATGGCAGTGATAAAAGGGAAACTCTAACAGTGAGAGATGCAATGGGGTGACGCACGACTGGGCTACTGAATTCCCCTGAGATCCTCATTATAAGATGATTGTTACATACTTGCTGCAGTGTGGTTAATTGTCAAAAGAAAGTCCAGATTACATTAAGATTTCAAGCTGTCTTGATGCCTGAGCCTACCGTGCTCTTACTTCCTTCTGAAAATACTATCCTAACAGTGACAGTGACGGGAGCAGGGGGGTGGGGCATGTTGGGTGAATGGGTTCAAAAATATAGTTAAATAGAATGAAGATCTAGTAGTTGATAGCACATCAAAGTGATTACAAATCAGCAACAATTCGTTGTACATTTAAAAATAAGTAGAAAAGTATAATTGAAATGTTTATAATAAAAAGAAATGATAAATGCTTGAGGTGATGAATACCCCATTTACCCTGATGTGATTATTATGTGTTATATGTCTGTATCAAAAATATTCCATTTTCTTCATACATATATACACTTACTATGTAACCGTGAAAATAAAATAACAAAAATTTGTTGCTGAAAAATTAGGAATCAACTTCAGCAAGTAATTTGGTATGAGGAAAAACGTGTAAATGGATAGCAGAAAAGTACTTAAAATATTTAAACACGCAGCACAGCAGAAAAAATCTATATTCATAGAGCTGCCAACGTCCTCTTGTCTCTCATTAGAGAGAAAATGAAGACGAGCGTTACCGGTGAAGGGGCACTGGGGTGAATTCACACTTCACATTCTATTTAGAAAATTCCGGCTGGTTCAGCATTTGCTTGACTTCTAAGTTAGAGCAGAGTGAATTTCTTGGCTTGGTTTTGAAAATGACCCGACTCCCCACCCAAGATCGCTCTAAAAATACAAATCTAGAAGAGGGGAGAAGGTTTTAGCAAACAGTACCTGAGACAGCGGCAGCTTCTGAGCCTTCTTCGTTAACCTCTAAGAAGGACTTGTGAATTGCTTTGGAAAGGAAAATCTCCTTGTTATCTACAAAAAGAGAATCAGAAACATGTTTTTAAATCAGAGATAGGAAAATAATATTGAAAATGAAGAGATTTGCCATTAGCTACACTATTTTATAGAAATGTATAAATTATAAAATTGAGTCAGGGAAAAAATAGAATATTTGAATAATCCAGTAACCACTGAAGTAATTGAATTAGTATACAAAAACTTTCTCTATTCTCAAAATTAAAAACTCCAAGCCTAAATGGTTTTTCAGGTGACTTAAACCAGGTCTTCAAGGAACAGATAGGATTCCCTGTTGTAAAATCGTTCTAGGCACTAGAAAGAAAATAAATGCTATCTAATCTGTGGGTATTCTTACTTTACTGTAAAAATTGAAAAAAAAAAAGGCAATATAAGAAAGAAAATCATAGACCAAGCTCACCTGTTAGCATGAAGATAAAGTTCTTTAAAAATCAGAAAATTAAAACTCAGCAACAAATGCAAATCATCTTTTTGAATTGGTTTCAATGGATGTTACAGTGTGTCATGACTCAGCAGTACAGAACTGCTCTCCTGACTGACTGCCTCTGGTTCACATTAATGCTTCCTCCAGGATGATCTTATCAAAATACAAATCAAATTATGTCACTAATCTACTTAAAATACTTTATCCCCTCTCCTGCTTGCTCTCCCTCTCACCTCACCTTCAGTATATTACAACCTGCGTTCCTGCTCAGTGTAAACTATAAGGACCTCCATAAGGCTGCCTTTGCTTCCCTCAGTTAGCATTCTTTGCCTCATTTGCTGTGCTTCAAAGTATTTGAACTGAAACAGCCTCAATATAGCACACTTTGTCATTTCTGTATGTTTGTTTCCCTAGATCCCCCTCAACTTTTGTTGTACAGTAAGGCACCTCATCTAGTTTAAAAGCTTTGCCTCTAGCTCTGTGAGGGTTTTTTCTGTTCTCCCCTAATTCCTAAATGACTAAAGTAGCTCTGACCACTCTTTCCTGTTGAAACCAGAAACTAATTCTGTTGAAGCCTGTCTAATACGTCACATTTGCACTGATGCTTCCCTTTCTTAAGGCAAGGATTGTGTCATTTTTCTTAGTAACCTTATCTTCTGGCATATAGTTGGACCTAAAGGATGAACTAACCCTAGTGGAGGGAATTTCCTGGTAATGTTCAATTTTCTAGTCTTTAACACAATATACTATCATAGACAGAATTTCAGGAACTATTGAATGGAAGTGGTTAACTATTTCATCTTGTAAGACTTTGGGTATGCAAAGTCTTTTAGTGTCATTTGATGTATGTATACCGAAATCACAACTCTGTTCACAATTATGGCTATAAAGTTTATTCTTGTAATAGGCCGGGCATAGTGGCTCATGTCTGTAGTTTCAGCACTAAGGGAGGCCAAGGCAGGCCAATCGCTTGAGCCCAGGAGCTGGACACCAGCTTGGGCAACATGGCAAAACCCCATATATATACAACTTTTGTATACAAAAAAATATATAAAAATTAGCTGGGTGTGGTAGTCTCAGCTACTCAGGAGGCTGAGGTGGGAGAATCATCTGAGTCTGAGAAGGTTGAGGTTGCAGTGAGCCAAGATCGCACCACTGCACTCCAGCCTGGGCACACACAGTGAGACTCTGTCTCAAGAAAATTTTAAAGTTTATTCTTATAATAAATAAAACATATGACAATAATCTAAAGTAGATGTTCCAAGAAAATTGAGAACAGCAACAGAGAGGGAAAAAGTGCAAAGGCCACATACATGCTAAAAGACTTAAACATCTGAGTAAAAGAGTAAGGCGAACAGGATGCAGCAGACCGATGCTACTATATTTATTTCAAAGACAGCGAAACAAAGATTGAATGCAACATGTGGATTCCCATATCATGATTAACTGCTACATGAGGGATAGCAAATGCCTGCACATGTAAATGAGACCTCAGGACAATCAACCTTTAGTAAAACACCATCCCACTGGATACATAAGTAGAAGAAAATGTGACAAACAAGAAGGCCAGGTGTGGTGGCTCACACCTATAATCCCAGCATTTTGGGAAGCTGAGGGGGGTGGATCACAAGGTCATGAGTTCAAAACCAGCCTGGCCCACAGGGTGAAACTCCATCTCTACTAAAAGTATAAGAATTAGCCCCGTGTGGTGGCATGCACCTATAATAACAGCTACTCAGGAGGCCAAGGCAGGAGAATTGCTTGAACCTGGAGGCGAAGGTTGCAGTGAGCCAAGATTGTGCCATTGCATTCCAGCATGGGTGGCAGAGTGAGACTCCATCTCACAAAAAAAGAAAAAAAGAAAGAAATCACATCACAGATACTAAAGGGAAAGAAAAGAAAATGAAGCCTTTTTTTTCTTGAGACAAACTTCAAGCAGTCGAGACTTATTAAATAAAATATAAGCAGAGAGTGGTCTAAGCAAACGTGTTTACAGCCAGAAAACCTTAGAAGTAGATCAGGTCATGCAGAGATACAGGCAATGTCATGGCCCCTTAGCTTGCCCTCCAAAATCACTCATCCCATGCAGTAGACAATCAAGACCATCTTTCCTACTAGGCCATACACTCTTCAAGGCTGGATGTTGCCTGTTCTACTTATCTCATTCACAACACCTTGCACACTTGTGAGGTACCAGGTATGCACTCAGATATTTGATAAATTGAATCAGAATGCAAAGGGATATTAAGGAGATTTACACTGATGAACCTGTCTTGTCGGTTAGAGAAAAGTTAGCTATTCTCTCAATCAAGCAAAGGCAAATCGTTTTGTTTTTTGTTTTTAAATCTGCACACTGGCACCAAGCAGCCTTCTCCTTCTGGCCACAGCAGACATTGCTGCCAAATGACTGGTTCCATCTTCCTCCAGGCAGCATGAGGCCAGGATTTTTACAATGGATGAGATGGGAACCGGGCCAGTAAACCCTAGGTTCCCCCAGAGAAAAACTGGGCAATAATTCAAACTCTTCTGAAAAAAGCAGGGCAAGACTACAAAGGCATTCATTCAGTCACTTAGTAAATATTTATTCAGTACCCTCTACGTACGAGGTATTGTGCAAGGCACAAAAGGCTCTGAGTGTCTGACATTAACATCATGCTTGTAGGATGGTCATCATGCAAGTGTAGGCCACTACTTCCTCTGTGGCACTGTTCCTAAACTCAGCCAATTTAAATAGATTTCTGCGTCATCAAGGGCATGCTTAAAATAACAAAATGACGAGAGTATCATAACAGAACCCTAGCATACCAAAAGTGTCTCTGTGCTTTAGTTGCCAAAATATTTTTAGCTTCAGCCCCACCCATGAAATTTATAAAACTTCCTAGAATTTGAGTTCTCTTAAGACAGGAATAATGTTTCTTTGTTTGCTTTTCTGGATGAATTTTGTGACAGAACCAACAAATATTCAGTTATTGGTCATTCATTCATTCATGTGCTCAGCACCTACTATGAGCCAGACACTTGATGTACTAGATATATTATGATGAACTAAACTGTTCCTTCCTGATGAGGGGAAAACAAACATTATATAAAAGAACAATAAAAAAGCAAATCAATAAATGACTACAATTTCAGAGTCTAGTACGTATAACTAAGCTAACAAGATAAGGTGGTATGTTGGTCAGCAGCAAAGAGGAGCTACTTGACATCAGTTATTCAGAAAGTTGGGTCTGAGAGAGCAAATCTTAGCTGAGACTGAAGGAATACAAAGGAGCCGGCCACTGGAAGAAATAAAGGGATAGTATTTCAGATGGAGGGAAAAGCCAGTGCAGAGGCAGATACAAACTCCACATCTTTAAGGACCCAGAGGAGGGCTGTGTGGCTGCTGTGTGGAGTTAGGAGAGCAGGAAGTATGAGGGAACCCCCCCCCCGCCCATGCTTGTAGCCAGGTGGGGTACAGTGACATTTACTCACAGCAGTAACCCACTCAGTATCTACCCTGTCCCCCACCCCCCAAATTCTCTTCTGTTTTCTGGAGACAAAAAGATGCCTATGCTTTTGAATAGCTTTGATATCAGAGACAAGCATGTAAACCAACAGTCTAGGAGAAAATGAAACATGTGCTAACAGAGGTGTGTGGAAAGTGCTACCAGATTCCAGATAAGGAAAAGTAAACAATTTAGGAAGGAAGAAGAATGTCAGGGCAAGCTTCTCTGAGGTGGCGACGTTTCAGCTAGCTCCTGAACAATTAGTATGAGTGAAAAGTCGGAGTCAAGAAGGGCATTACAAGCAGAGGATGCTATTTGTAAAGTGAGAGAAGCTTTACATCCCCAGTGGGGATGTCTTGAAGGGCCAGTTGGAGCTTGAGCTATGAGGAGGTTGGGGAGTAGGAGAGGACATAATTTCAAGAGCTTTGATGATGATGGCAGAGAGCCTGGACCTTATCCAGAAGTAATGGGACACAGTGCTTTGATTTCAGAAGATAGCTGTGGCAGCTGCTGTGAAGGGTGAATCAGAAAAGCAAAGAGCTGGGGCAGAAAGACGAAGTTTGTTAGCTTTTGCAATAATCCAGGCAAGAAAGTAGGAGAAGAATTGGAATTATGGCTATGAGAGAGAAATAGAGCCTTGTGGTTTACAGGTGCAAGGAGAAAGAGAACAAACAAGGTTGGGGGTAAAAATAGGTCCAGCATAAATCGACAGCACTTGAGTCTAACCTGAATATGACTGTTGGTGTGTCTTCTTAATTCCTTTATTTTATTGGCTCCTTCATTAAAGCTTGTACTTGATGCTGAAGGATTTAGCACTCTCTTTTCTCCTTCCCCTTACACCTTCCAAGAGGATTATCTATTAATCCAAATGCTGACACTTATTCATTTCCATTACAAAAATAGTTCTTCTCTATAACAGGATCCTCACTGCAAGTAGATGAGCATTTTAAATAGAGCCTGAGAAAAAAATGATTCTCAGCAGTTTCTATATTCCATGTTTATTATATGAGCCTTCACTGTGTTTTATCTTGATGGAATTTACCAAAGAAAGTAATGGACACCGAATTGAGATAAAAAATAAATGCAAC